AACACTACCACGAACGGCACAGCGAAGTCCCGAAAGACCTACTGGAACGTTTTAGCATTCTGAAAAAGTGGAGTAACAAGTTCGATTGTTTAGTGAACGAAATGCTTTTCATCAGAGACCTAAAACCCACTCTGAACGCGCAAAGCGATTCAATTTGCGCAAAAGTATTTGTTTAATTAGCTCCTAATATATTTATGCTAATTTAGTGTTACACCTTGCCACAACCTTTGTAATTTTTTATTTCTCCTTGACAATGGCGTCATGATGACACCGAAACGTCGGTTTTTATCGTTGGTTTTTGTCAGTCTTTGCATTTCCAAATCTTTATTCATAAGATTGCAAATCAGCAATTATAAAAAGAGAGTGGCGTCCAAGACATGTTGGAGATACTTGTAATGAAATTAAAATGTTACTGAGAAACAGCACATCGCCATCTAAGTATATAAGTGGTCTATCTCGGGGTATCGTGAATCCTCCAACAATAACACAATCTAAAGAAAATACTGAAAGCTGATCAACTAATTAGTTTTTTCCGTGCGCTTAAGAATTTTATTTTATGTTTAACTTGCTAGAAAAGCAGAAGTCACTTGAGATGAATACTGAGTAATTGCTTTTGTCGGCTGTTGAGATTCTCCTTTTATGAAAACATATTTTAAAAAAAAACATGTGATATTCTTAATCCTTGAGTGACAATGCAGTGAGTGATAAACAGAGTTAAAGTTGTTCGGGTGCCCCTTACAATATCTCACGCAGAAGCCTTCTTAAAAGGGAGATTATTCTAATCAATTTTTTCACTGTAAACAAAGCCAGTCTATGAGTTCTTTTGTGTTATCTCTTCCTTCCGAATCCTTGGTTTAATGTTCTTTATCGTTGGAGGGTTTTGTGATTGAGAGAAGGATGCAAGGTTCTTTGTCTCTGTCTGATGTCAGCCATGACAAGCGATTCTTGAACCATGAGGTAATATAAAAAGAAAGAAAAAATATTGCAGTATCATTAGTTCGTTAGAATTTATTTTCATTCCTATTTTCTTAGGGAGATAATTCTATCATAGCGCAACCAAGAAAATATAAAAAGACGGGAGCAAACAAAATGAAGAAGAGAACTGTATGTGGATTACGACAAGGCTATAAGACGATAAGATCTAATAACGTTATTCTAATATTTCCAATATAAAAGTATAGCTGTGAATGAATTATTAAATGAAGCAATAGAACACATTCCCCGGGCTCTATAACGGATAAAGCATCCGCTTGTAAACTGAATTGACCAATCAGACGATGCTGCGTACTATGTTCATTTTATCATAAAAGTACAGGTAAAGTCGCCTTCCAGAGCTGAATATCCTGCACTTTATCTTCGATGTCTGTGATGAATAATCGATCATTCTTGTTCACGTTAAAATCAATTTCATTCCTAGTTCCGTCCTAGTTAGTGTTTTTGAGTCATAGTTCTTTTCGTGCTTCTCTTCTTGAGGAAATGACGACGCGAATTTTTCTTCACGATCTTAATCTGATAGTTGTATTTTAATACCATTTATATAGTACCTTCGTTCCAATCTCTCTTGGTGGGTCACCAACCGAAAAATGTCTGGGTTTCTACAAAACAAAAATAAAACTGTATCATAAAAGTTTATAACATTGAGTGACTGTCCTTTGTGTTATATGATAACAATCCTTTTGAGAGCAAGGAGTTGCTTTGTTGAATGAAAACAAATAGATCGCATCTGGTGATATAGCGAAGGATTCTTCGGAGATAAAACACGTAACAGAAACAAAAGGGCAACTTAAACCGTGTGCAGACAAAGATGATATATTAAGTGCATTATAATGGCTCTCATTTCTATGTTGGTGGCTTAGTCAGTTACTAATCTAAAGTTTGATTCAGTGAGGTGATTACGTTTTGATAATCTCAGGTTTAAGTCAAACTCCCTTACCTTCCTTCCATGTCCTGGCAGAGCTTTTAAGGTGCGTTCTGGCACTGTTTTCCGGTGAGACGACTTCTAATTCGAAAAAAGAGGCAAAAAATGAAACAATTAGAGAACATCACAAACAGCAAGCGAAAATAAGGAAGAAAATTTGCAGGATCATCGATTTTAAGATTCTACCTGTTTTTTTTTTTGTTTTTGTTTTAGTTCGGCGTACAAAAACGTTTAGCAGGGTGCTATTAGAAACTTTTAAACTAAGATAATAGGTAATTACGTCAGTGGCCACGACGTAGTGATAAGATGTCAATTTTTCCGAGGAATGATTGATTACTTATAAGGTTAGATAAAAATAAAGTGGATAGAACGCTACTAAGAAAAACTGTTTTTTCGTAGCCAGTTTACGAAAGAAGATGCTTAAGGTTTGACTTATGCTGCGCGGTAAGTGAGCCGGAGAACTGAAGCGTTCAGGAATGGAATTTCTTGGAAAAGCAAAATAATTCTTGCTACACTTCGAGGACGATACATACAGAATATTACATGGCCGAGCGGAGATATTCAATTTCACTTCGAGTGTTGAAGTGTTGAGTGTCGCTCACTAATGAAATATTTCAAGCAATTACAGGCAATTAACTAGAATTACCAATTGAAATTAAGATTTAGGGATTAGAATCGAATTAAAAAAGGTAAGACCATAGGGTCCATTGGAAATTACCGGCCTTCCTTGAATGTTAGGCCTTCGGTCCATACTCCCTTGATGAAGCAACCCTGAGAGCAGCTTCTCTACATCCTTAAATTGCACCTCATGTTGCGTTTTCCATTTTTGCAACTCTTCAACTCGACCAGTAAGCTGTTTGTCTGAAAGTTGGCTCTGCGTGCGTACAAACTCGATTTTGGAGAAAAGTGTTAAATCCTGCTGCCGGTATTCCATAGCTAAGTCCCAGAGCTCTTGAACACGTTTGACATTATCTTCACTTTGTCGTCCAGCCTCGGCCGTCAGCTTAATAAGAGTTCCAAGCATCCTCTGACAAAAGTTGCGATGTTCCTCACATGACAAAAGCAAGTGCCCCACGTTTTCTTCATTTGGTGGATCCACCTCTTCATCATCAGATGAACTGCTTGTAAGCTCTGCATCGGATGTATCTTCATTTCTACAAGCCAGTTGGAGCCTCAGGTCCTGAAGTTCTGATGAAATATAACGCTTTAGACTTTCCTGCCTCGCCTCAACGACAGTTTCTAAGAATCTCCTGCTTACCAGTGTCTGCTAAACCAAATGTAAAACAACTCGGTGAGACAACAGATCAGTGACTAAGAAATAATTTTCGAAGATGTACCCGGAATCACAGATTAAACTTTTCCAAATGATCATTTCTAACTAGTGGCAGCCGAAACATAGAATTAATGAGTTTATGATGTGAGGGGTTCCGATTTGCAAATGAGTCACTCACACACTCACACACCAAAGTATCTTTAGGAGAAAGGAAAAGATTGAACCTTTTTTTGGTGTAATAATAGCGAGAGGAGCTTCTGATTTTTATGTTTCTCGAAACGGCCAGAAAATTCCATCAACTAAGAAAAAATAATCACACACAGAAAGAGACTTATAATGTAGGCCTAGGACAAAAATGAAGAAGTTACCTCTTCCAATTTTAAAAGTTTGTCACTGCTGTTGAATGCCTTCACCATGTATTTATTTCCCTGCGCATCTTCGCACACCAAAAGCTAGAAAAAATGAAAAATAGTTTATTGCAAACAAGCATGGAGTAATAGTGACGAAATTTTCGCTAAACAAAGAGGAGTTTGATATTGTACTTGTAAAGAGTAATTGATAGTAAACCATTCCTAGAGAATGGTGGAAATCCGTCTGATATTTCTGGTTTAAGACAGGTCTAGGTTTCACATACTTTTGTTTACACGAACAATTTCCAACCACAAGAAAAATTCAATTGATTAGCTCTGGAGGAGTCCAGGGCAGACGTACTAATCATCAGCCTTGTAGGAAGTGGATTTTAACTTTGTTGTAACAAAATATGTATGATGTCATAATGAAAATTGTATCTTTAAGTAATTATGTAGAAAACGTGTTGCTAACAACTAACCTTATCAAGCCCTGCTCCCAGGTTATGAATAACTGTTAAACTAATAGCATAGCCCTTGGGAATGTTTCCACACCTCGGCAATTTTCCATCATCCAATCCTAAAAGTATATATTGTAAAAAGAAAGTGTAAGAAGTCAGCAGGTATTTTCAAGTAATAAATAGCCAAACTGACCATAGATGTTGATGATACTCTGGCCAGGCATCATGATCTATTGCTAAAGGAGACCAGTAATCTAATGTCAACGTTTAGAATATTTGCTATCGGGAAATGGTTTTATTCGTTGCGTGGATACAATATCTTACCTTGGCAACCAAAACCAGGATAATAGGATAGCTGGATAATTTATTGAGCTTTTTCTACGATTGAGTTTCGTAAAACAACGATGAAGTTTGTGCCAACTGCCAATTAGAACAAAAGAAACTGGCACAAGTAGCCAATGGAATCTCAAAATGAAAAAAAAAAATTGAAGCGGTGGGAGTGGTAGGAATAGGTGAGTGTTTAAGTTACGATTGGTTTTACGCTTTAATCTGTCTGGTAGAGACCTTTTGGAGTGCGATCTTCCTTGCCCAATCAAAGAGAAAAAGTGATCAAGAGCAATGTAACCCGGGGTCGCTTTTTACACTCAGTTAAAAACTGTTCCATCAGGAATTACAAATGCCTTGATATAGTCAGCACGTTCTTATTTATCGGCAAGTATGTCGAGAAATTTTAGATTTGCGCGTGTTATAAAGAAAGATATCCATAGCATCCTCCTCAAAACACTCAAGGAGGAAAAGTATTGGGCGAAATATCCCAATCCCCCTTTGTAAAGATGAGACTTAAAAGCCAAGGAAAACTCCATTAAAGTGTAACTAGGTAACAATGTAAATTCTTTTCTAGAACATCTTCGTGTTGTTATTATAATTATTTTTTTATAACATGAATTTAGCGATTGGCCGGCTTGTCCGTTGCATACGCATTTCAACAGCAATCTGCACAGAACACTCACTCATCCTGCCGGGAATACCTACTCACCAAGCAGCTTTTCTGCGATGCATTTTTTTCCAATGCTTTCTAAAGCATCCACAAGACGCTCTACCACTGCGCTGCTCCCTTCTTTCTGTTTCCACATAAGGAGTAAGGCGTTTGCTTTGTCGCGATTACAACGATAATCGTCGTCTAGGTTTTGGATTTTTGCGGCAGAGATATCAAGCTTTGGTCCCAACTCACGCCAGCAAGTACCTACGTCATCACTTATGTCTGAAAGCTGCAGCTCTGTCACCACAGAGTTCCTTAGGTCGATGATGACGTCTCCTGTTTGCACAAAAATATATTAGATTTTTACAATAAATTAATTGCTTAGTTGAATGTAGTTCAGACATTAGGATTGCATGACTAAAGCATTGTAGTCCGGATGAGGATCAGTTCTTGCTGTGTGGCTGATTATACCCTTACGTCAGGGCGTTATGTGTGTCATAGTCAAACCACTGAGGCCTGACACCGGAAACATGAGAATAATGGTAAATTCAAATATGACGTATGCAGAAGTCATTCGGCAAAAATAGACTTCTATTTAACTCACTTTTCCCAAAACCCTTGTGACAAGCTATTCAAAAGAATGGGGAAAATCTGCCGTTCGCTTTAAACGCTTAAAGTCTAGCTTGTGACAATAACTGCTGAAAGCTGACGGCAAGAGGTACAAATTCAGTTTCGATCTGTGGTTCGCCGACAATGTGATTGCTTCGTCGCAATTTGTGTTATGCAGGAAGTCGAAGGATTCCTAATTAACATACGTTTAGCTTCCTTAATTCACTTTCGGTTGGAATACAATCTCCAGAGAAAGACTTTTGCGACCTTATCTGCGGTCGAGTATCAAGCTAAACCGATCAATGGTGCCGACGATATCTTTGTCTATTCATCCTATCTCTCTTCTTAACAACGAAGGATCAGCACTGAAATTGATCAAAAGTTACACTAGTGCTGCTTTATCCTGACCTTAAGAAAAATCCTGCAATTGAAAACTCAAAATCGCTTCGTAAGTTTCCAATCTTCCTCATCTTCATCTTTCCCACTAGAAAAGCCAGCGTTGCGGAACATATTTTGAACTCATACTTAGTTGATATCACTCTAAATTATCAATACCGTACTGAAAAATGCAAGAATGTCGCCCGTTAAACAGACATTGACAGCTAAACTAGCATCACAATATATATAAACCTTTAATGTTAAATGCAAACCGGTTATATGGAAAATATAGAAAACAAATTTCTCATTTTTAGATGTCAGGCGCCCACAACACCTCCAAAATTTAGAAGTCTGATGACTCTGTTTTATTTTAGTTTTGCCCATTAAAGAAAACTTGCAATAATTGCTTTGCAGAACAAAAGGACTACGATTAAAAAGTAAATACAAGCAGTATTCAGACATGCTAAGGAGACTAAACAAAGCTAAATGGCAAATATTTAACACGTGTATATAATTTTGTGAAAGCTTACTTGTAATTTCAATACCATGCTCAGCTTCTCTTCCGTTTGTCTCAGGTAACGCAGGCATTTTTGTTTCCACGGTAGCCATAGGACTTCCTTTTCTTGTTGTTTCCTGAATACAACTATGCTTTCCTTCTGTGAATCAATCAAAGCTTGCCTGTCGATATTTTCAACCACATCTAGTCATGTGGAAAGAAAGATTATTCAAGTGTGCCTTGTTTACTTCGACAACTAAAGCTACTCAGATCTCTATGATATTGACAGAATTGACAGCTTTCGCCTTCAAGCCAGTAAAGTGAACTAAGTACAGCGGAGTTCTGAAATTCAGATTATTACATAACAAGTCTTTAGAACCTGTGGTGAAAAGGAAAGAATCTCACTCTAAATATAACGATTGCGTGCTATAACAGGAGGTCGTTCCGGAAGAATACAGCCCTAAGAGCAGAAGGCCCAGAACGTTCCGGATTATTCACGAACATTCTGGGTCCTTACTTATTATCAATGAATCAGCTTTGGATATTCTACGAGTGGTGGTCTATAAATTCTTTCCAAAGAAGCCCTATGGTTAGTTTTAATACAGAGCAAAAATATCATCTATCAGACTCATGCTATAAGTCTTTTAAAACACTTTTGGTAAAATGTTCCGCTTTTTAACTTAATTTTTTTTCAACACTTTTGGTTAAAGGTTCCGCTTTTAACTAAAGACTTTTTTAAACACTTTTGGTAAAAAGGTTCCGCTTTTTAACTTAAAAATTTACTGGAAATGTTGAAAATTATCAAAAAAATCCACTTTTACTTAAATATAATCGGACTTAGAACCTACTTGCCACATTTCGTTATGATAGAGAGAAAAGTTATTTATCACCCGGGCGGGGAGGGGAGGAAAGTCGAAGAATTTTAAAAAGGGCTGGATCCCATTTTTTTCCTCAACTGGGGAACAGTGGGAGTAACAGTCGCCCTAACAGAGTATAAAGGAGGGAGTGGGGGGACTAAAGAAAATCAACTGCCAATGATGGGGATCATTAGAACACTACAAGGGTGGGGTCAGGTAATATTTACTGAGACCTGGCCCCGGTTGTTCGAAAGCCGATTAAATTATCCCTCGATTAGAGGTTAATCGACGATTAAATTTCTTATCCCAAGGATAGCTAATCTAGGTTTAAAATAACGTTCCTGAAAGCAGATTTATCCCTCGATTAACTATC